TATGCCTGGCCCTTCCCTCATTCCAAAGGTATACGATGCTTGCGAAAGATCTTTCAACCCCTCAAGAGCGCAGAAAATATGAAGTACCCCCTCATTTCTCGGCATAAACCCCGGCCTTGATATCATCCAAAAGGTTCCGGGCAAGTGGCTCCCAGCCAAGAACTTCCTGGGTCTTCTTGCTTGAAGTCGGGTTATCCATGCTCATAATAAAAGACATGAAGCTGTCAATGCTCCCCGCTTCATCAAGGGTCTTGGAGACAGCAGGGAGACCTAGACTCTGACCAATGGCCTCGGCAATATCTTTCATGGTGACACCTGCCTCACCCACAGCATGGTACATGCTTCCAGCAACACCATTCTCTAGAGCAAGTCGGTAGAGCCGAGCAGCGTCAAGACGATGAACAGCAGGCCAGCGGTTTAGTCCCGCATCGATGTAAATGGCATTACCCTGCGAACGGGCCAGAACAGCAAGCCTATCGATGAACGCGCGGTCCTCATCGCCATGTACAGTAGGCGGCAGACGGATGACACAAGCACGCACGTTTTGCTCAGCAAGATCGGAAACGACCTTCTCATTCTGCGCACGGATGTTCATCGGATGTTCGTAATCAATGACTTCGTCTTCAGTGCTGACTTTCCCCTTGGTGAGCCCCAAGGTGCCAGAGGTAGTGACTAGAGGCTTGTTGGTTCCAACCAGGACTGAGCCTAGAGTCTCGATGGTCTTTTTCTCGTCAAGGCAGTTCTGCGCATACTTGCTGAAGTCGTGGTCGAATGCAAGATTGATCACGCCGTCAGCCTCGCTGGCTCCTTGCTTGATGATCTCGACGTCTCGAAAGGAACCACGGAGCACTCTGACGCCTTTCGCTGTCAGGACAGCGGCGGCTTCATCAGAGCGCGCAAGACCTGTGACCGTGTGGCCGGCATTTATAAGTTCGTTGACAACTGCTCTGCCGATGAAGCCAGTGGCTCCAGTCACGAAGACGTGCATAGTAAGAATGGTTGAGGGAGGGAGGTGGACGAAGCGTGAAGCGTGGAACGTAAAAGCCGGGAGGTCAGGGACTCGAATATAAATGTCTAGGACTTGCTTGAAGCATGCAATTGAATAGGACGAACCCTTTATAGATCGAGCCCATCGAGGAATTAATCAGCAGTGTACAACCCGGACATAACCCTTTGCTTAACTCCTATTAGCCTTACAGGCATGCTAGCTATTTCTCTGTCTCGCCTGTAAGTATCATAATTATTGAATAATATCCGAGGTGAAATCCCCGTAGTTATCTCGACTGCGGCCCCAACCCAATAAGATCGCCACGTCGGGGTTCGGAGTTAAGCATCTCAACAGCGTACAAACCGGGTACGAATGTCCCGTTCCTTCACATTGTACTTTTGCAGCCTAATCCGTCGCGTGGAAGATCCCATGTTCGTTTTAATTGGAGTATGATATTCGGCCCCATTTCCAGAAATGCGTACTATGTAGCATAGCAAACCTCAAGACACAACAAGGGAAACATCAACGAAAGTATCAAGCGCACGAAAATTATGGTCTCTCGTATGCAGTAGCGAACACGGCACTACTAATCCTGATTATAATTTCAATCCGAATCCTAATCTCAACCAAAATCTCGATCTACCATAGCTCGACTTCTCAATGACACAAAATCAATCTGAACGCAACCAATTCCCTCGGCCCAGACGATATCTTCCACATCCTGGCAGATGAGTATAAAGCCTTCAGTGCGCTGCGGGCGTGTAAAGTGGAGAAGACAGCTGGTAAGTTTGTGGTGTTGGTGTGGGTTATTGGAGATTGGTGTGGGCTAGGGAATACTGTATGAGTGTCATTGATTCCAGTGTGAAATTGGGGGTTGGAAGATATGCAGAGCTTGAATTTGTTGATGGCCGTGATGGGAATATTCGATTCATATACAAAATGTAATATAATATACCTCTGAAGAAAGCCAGAAGAGAACATTGGTATCAAAACCCTCGCAACGCCGGGGAATGCTCAAATCAAACTTTTAGGAAGAGATGATCATTTGCCACATAAGATGGACAGATATATGAATATAAAACAAGAAAATTAAGAGAAAAAGGATGCGGTAGACAAATTTTTAGAAAGCCGTTCATTGCCTCGAGTTGTTGTGCTCGTAGTTGAACGGCGTGGGGAAGTGCATGCTAGCGCTTAACCCGAACGGATCTGTGTCCAGCATCGGCTCGTACTGGCCAAGCAGCTGATTTGCATTGCTGAAATCGCCGGGCGTGCCTTCGCCTGGCGGTTGGCTGAAACCGGACATGTTGTGGGAGCCCGAGGCGACGGACTGCGGTGTGAATCCAGGGACATAAGATGCTTGGCCGTCGTGGTCCTCGTCGACCATATCGGCCTGGGCATCGTACTCCTGTTCTGCTTGAGAGGTCAGCTAGGGAAGAACTAATTTAAAATAAAAATAAAATAAAATCAAGACAGGCTTACCGAGCTGATCGTAGTGTTTCTGGAATGGAGAGGGATAGTAAGCAGCCGCTGCGACCCGCGCACCGCGAGGACCCATAGCTCCACCACGGGATTGGGGTTTGGGATCTGACGGGTCGGTCTGCGGCATGCTAATTGCCGGCGGCGAAGTCTGACTGAAAGTCCGGGGTTGGGGAAGGAGCTGGGGCCGTCCACCCTCGACAGGTGACATGGCGCCCTGGAAGCCGAAGCCGGGGGACTTGGTGTGCGAGGGCGAGGAAACGTGGGAGGTCGGGGTTGCTTGGAACTGCGGCGACGGGATCCCGTATGCGCCTTCCCGCTGCGACATGCCGAACGTCTCGGGCTTCGAGGCGATGCCTGCGGGGTGTCGCTGGTTCGGGCGGGCCCCTGCCGCGCTAGGCGCTGCCTTTGGGGGCATAGGGTTCGCCTTTGGAGGAGCGCCCGGCGCCCCTGTTTTCAGGCGTAGTTCGGCCTGTACATCGATGCCTGAGGGGTTCGGGGTTAGTTGAGATTTGGACCGGAGGCTCAGGTAGGGACCGTACCTTTTTCAAGGAGGATCCGCTCCAGTAGGGAGTTCTTATACCGCAGCATCAGACATTCATCGGCGGCGCTGCGATGGCTCTGCTGCAGACTCTGCAGAGATTCCTCATTGCGCTTGATGGTGGTCTCTAGCTGACGGATATACTCCGTCCTGCGTTCTCGGAAGGCCGCCTGGGCCTGCCTGTTGCGCTGCTTTCGCTCTTCCGAGGTGGCATATATCTGAACGGGGTTAGTATACAATTCAAAGATAACAACATCGGGATATAGGACAGTGACACAAAGGAGAAATGCGGGGCCCCAGATTTGAAAAAAATGTTACGTACAGGTTTCCTGCCTCCCTTCCTCTTCTGAGTCTGCGCGGCGTCCTGGGTTAAAGGTTCGGCTTCTGGATCTGGCGTCGACACGGTCGAACTGACGGAACCATCCGGACCAGGTTCATGTTTAGGCACGATTGAGTCCATGGCCATATCACTATGGTCAACCATCGAGACCATTATATAATCTAATTCAAGCCTGTAGGCGGCCCTCCGCACACGGAACAGACACAGCCAGTTTTCCCCGCGTTGCCGGACCTGCTGGCCGGCAAAAAAATAGAGCGGAAAAAAAAGAAAATAGAAAAAAAAAAAGGAAAAAAAGGAAAAAA